ATCACAATTTCAGCCTTTATTCTGAATCCTGAGTCTCATTAAGGAATAGAAGAATTGGAAAATATGGTATCGAGGTATATACATTATTTTTATTATTAAAACCTTAATTGATAATGAAGATCCCTATTCTTAAGCCAGTTCGAAGTCCAAGATGTAAGAGAACTTGAACATCTCAAGAGGAGATATTTTTATGGTTTGGAAATTGTTTTCCTCTAACGGAAAAATCTTAATTTTCCCTCCACTATTGTAGGGTGAAGATGAATCTGTCATACTTACCTGTAGATACACAGTGAAACTGGTGAAAGGGGAATGAGCTTTCAGGCAATTAGAACAACTATGTGGGAAATTGCTTTACAGCACTTGCTAGGCCAATCTGACAGCTTTAGCAGCCCTCATCTTTAATGAGCACTTACATCTACCAATGCTATAAAAAAATTATGAGTCATAATGGGTCTGTTGCATTAGATTAGCTGAAACTTGATCAAGCATTAGTAGATGAAACGAAATGCAACTAATTAGGAGTGCTAGAAAACTGTTAATACTAACATTAGTATTCCTTTATTTTATTTTTCCATGTGGTTTCCAAACAAGGGGTTAATAAAAGGAATATACTAAAGACCTTTGCATCCTTGAGCTGCAGGTTTGTCCCACATTAGCTGATATGGAGGGGAGAAAACTGAAATAAACTACATTAGAAACCATATTGGGAAGCAAAATTTCACAGAAAATTTTATGGTTTTCTATCTGCCTGTTCACTTTGAACAAATCTGTGAGGTTCAGTGGCTGCACAGGAGTGTGCCAGTGGCCAGAAAGTAGTGAGAGGGGACAGAGAATAGCTGCACTAAAGACTAGTTTTCCATCCTACAGAGACTAAATTTGGCATCAAAAGACATCTATCTAATGCATAGAAGCAGAAAGGAGTAGCTGTGGTGTTTGAAAGTTTTGGCTATCTTGCTATGATGTCTGGTTGCTTCTGCAGCAGTTTGACTTACTGATAAGCAGAGGCTGTATGGCCGTGAACTGACTTTGCTATTGTTGTTGAGGCATTGACCATGAAAAAGGGTACAAATTAAGAGTTCCCAGTTATCATAGGGGCTGCTGTAGGCATGATAGGATCCTTAATGAGTTCTGATTTCTGTGCATCGTTAGGCATCACAGAAAAGGACAGGGCAGCACAACTAGCACACTTTCAAACTGCTGTGACTGGGCTGCTTTTGTACCTGCAGAGCAGAAATGCAGGTTTGCAGATCATTTAAAAGGCTCTCCTAAAAACCTGTGAATTCTGGCAGTAGCTTATCACAGCTGTTTCCCATCGCATCTCTTTCCAGATATTGTGTGATAAACGGGAACACGCTGTTTTCTCCTGAGGCGTTGTATTGACACAACAGAAGAGCTTGTAAGGGAAGAGCATTTCTCAGGTACAGTGCACTGAAGTTCCTCAGATGCTGACTGGCTCTATTTTAGTTGGAATTGAATAAATGTCAATGAATTCCACATCTGTTTTGGCAATATGACCTTGGAGGTGGCAGGGCCAGCAGTCTTCCTCCAGGATGAAATGTGGATCTGTTGCAGCTGGAAGAAGGAAAAATAGAATTGCTGGGTACTTAGGAATGTTGCATCTGGTGCCTCATGCCCAAAGGCTGACAGATAAATCCTGTTTGTCAGTTACTGTTTACTCTTTCTGTACCATCCCAAGTGAGGCATGCACATACATGTGCATGCATTCAGCAACACAAGGAGAAAATGACGGAAAATACTAGAGATGCATAAGATCCACTGATTGTCTCCAAGAAAAACCTTGGCTTCATATGCATGCATGCTAGTTTTTTCCACTTAGTGACCTAATCCTTTAGTTTCACTTAAAAAGTGAGTAACCCTCAAGTGACAATAAATCATTGTTGGCAGCCAGGCCAGAAATCTAGGGAGTATAAAGATAAGCTCTGGATCTTTTTTTTTTCTTTAGCTTCCTTCATCTTTTTCTTCTCTCTACAAGTATCATCATTTTCCCTTTTACTAAGAAAGTTTCTGTGACATTTAGATCTGGCCAAATTCTGTGGTAGACTGAGATTATTGGAGGTTATTCCCATAATCTCCTTTGAAAATTTCAGTTTCAGCAGTTTACTCTAGCTAGATGTGCAAGAACCCCCCATAAAATGGTGGTTCTTGCACATCTCCACAGACATCAGTTTCAATCAGTTGGTTCAAATGGCCAGTTTCTGTATGCTTTATACACAGGTGGGGAGCCAGGGGCTACAGCAGAAGACTTGCATTCACATCCCACAGTGGCAAATTTAGTAAATTCTGATGGCCCTAGCCTAGGCTTGGGCCTCTCATCACATACCTAGGTACAGTAACCCAGTTTGTTGCTGGCCTTGGTGTTTCCAGGGACTAGAAAATCTTGTCGTAGCAGCTAGGTCTGGAATTTGGGCTGCCATTTGTCTGTTGCTAGGTTAAGCCATCATTTCTATATCTGTAACAACTGGAGTTGGTTTTAATTGTAATAAAGATGTGAGGAGGTTATATATATAAAATTATATATATAAAGACTTTTAGCTTTTTTTTTGCTTTATAAACAAATAAGCATGTGGTATTTTAATTTTTTTAAAAAACAGGAGATCAGATTGATATTTTTTATATGGGGCTCTTGGGAGTGTGTGTGTGTGATAAATGATAATTGATTAAGGGTGACAAGTTAAAAAAATCACACTTCCCTCAAAAGTTAAACCTCTAGTTTTCATTTGCATTAAGACCCTGAAAATCCGAAGCAGAGTAACTTGAGTGCTGATGTGGAAAAAAATCAGGCTAATATAGTAAGTGACAAAAGTGAAAACTAGCACAGAGTTCAGAGTTCACGGGTGGAAGAAGTCATGATCAGTGGTCCTACTGCAGGTGTAGGGAGGAGAAATTCTAACAACTCCCTTCCTTCTGAATTGGAACCCTTCTTCCCCATGCCTCCTATATTAATATCTCATTTCCCATCTCTGCAATGCTCTCTGGATCTGCTAGCAGTCAAGCCAAGTCTAGCACATGGCCATGGGTCTGAGCAGAATTAGGTAAGGCCATGGGGGCCCTCCTACCTTTCTGTCAGACCTTATGCAGAGCTGGTAGGGAATGTGCTGCTCTCCTGAGATTTCAGCATAGTTCTGTCTCAACGCTGTTGCCCTTCTGTATTCAGAGGCACCACAGAGATGGCTTCTTTTTGCCTAGAGAGCAGCTGAGTAATGAAAAATTTGAAAGTCCTGGTGGTGTTGTTTACCCTCATACAGTTATTCCTTTGCCTTTCATAGAACAAGGTTGCTGTAATAGCATTTTTAGTTGCAGGCAGAATTGGAAATACAGAAATAAATTATGAAGAACCAAGGTGTCTCCTGTCAGAATAAATATTTAATGAGAACAACGGTTGTGTTCATTCAGAGTCAGAAGGACTGATACTGAAGTACTGTATGTATGTTAATTTTAATGTATAAAATACATGCTTGGACTTAAAAATGCAGAGTGAACAGCCTCAGGGGCAAGTGTGTATTAAGTCTGTGACAGCTGTCTCTGTGGGTGGTGATAATGTAAAAGTTTCTTTTTTTCCAAACCATTTTAATTTACCCACCAATCAGTCAGGAAACAGAGGAATCTTAAAGTACTTACTCTCCAAAGCAATTCTTGGAGGCGTGTGTTCTTTCATATTGTATCCAGACTGTTCACTCTAACCAGCCTTTAAAGTACATGAGCCTTTTTTTTAACTCTTCCTAGCTCAGATTAAAAAAAAATCTGAATAAAGATACACTAGGTTTTTTTTTGTGTTGGAACAACTTACAGAGTTCATACAAAACGTGTATGTTAGTATGTACAGTCATGCTACTTAACATGAATTAACTAGTGACTGTTACAAGCTAATTGCAACTTACAAGTTATTTTCAAGTTAAAATGGGAACAAAAGGCATGATCTCAGAGTTCGCAGCTCATCTTTCCAAGGACATGGGATGCTGAGGCGGGCTTGGGCTTTGTAATGAGTTCTGGAACGATTACTTGTTCCTTTAGGCAACACGAGAGAGAGAATAAATCCCGGTCTCCTTTTCCTTACTGGTCACAACTCTTTAAATAATTGGTCTACCTATCGCAGTATACAGGATGTCCCATGCCCATGTGACTTGTCATCTAAACTATGGGGTCCCTTCCCTGCTAGCTCACTTTAATCTCTTCTCATTCTGTTCCCCCATCTCACCAAAAGCTTGTGCCTTTCTCTTCATAAGCCTCTCAAATATTTCTGAACCTTTGTTTGCCTGTTTTGAGGGTTTCCGACCTGCCTGAAGGTAAAATAGTTTGAAATAGTTTCTCTGTTCAAACTTCTATTTGGAATACCTATTTATTTTCCAAAGCGCAGTCATTAAGGCTATGCTACCTAATGGTTGGTTGTAAATGCGCTTGGACTGGAGAGAGATACGTGATTGGGGCCTCTAAAGCTTATGACTAACTCGCTATGCATTGATGCATTCAGTGGTTTGTCCAGTCCATAACGTGGAGGTATAAATAGACTCTCAAATCATTGCATAACAGTAGAATTGCCTGCAATTTAGAATAGAGGACACTGGCAGTCTCTCAGTACGGCCACTAATGTGTTTTGTGAACTTGAATGATCTCTGTCTGCCTCATTTTTTTCATTTCTAAAATGGAAACGGTAGTATTTTGCCTAGCCAGCATTCACAGGGGAAAAACTTTTTAAAAATGCTTTCCAATACAGGTAAAATGATTGGGAGACAGAAACGTATTTAAATCATTACTGAAGAAAAATCTCAGGCCTTTTATGTGAAAGGAGATCTTAATGCATTTAAAATAAAACTGAGGGAGCAGACATACTACGTTAAAACAGTAGTTACAGACTTAGCTCACAGCAGACTGTTAAGGACAAAAGTTATTATTTCTGTTTGTAGGTCTCCCTTCATATGCTTCTGTTTAGATAAGAACTGTAATGCAATCTGTTCTCTTTGATTGTTTGGTTTATGCAGGCACAGGCTTGCTACAGGAAGTCGTATATCTAGTGAGTCAGGGAGCTGATCCAGATGAGATTGGACTAATGAATATAGATGAACAACTTCCAGTCCTAGAGTACCCTCAGCCTGGTCTGGACATCATCAAGGTACAACTTATTGCAAATAAAGTCTTTCAGCATTTGAGTATCTTTTTCCGCGGTTCCATATTTATCACTTCATTTCATCCCGTGTCCTTGTCCTTTTCATCACTGGACTTGCTCAGTTTGTTGGAATGATTCAGAGTATTATTAGGTTATTTTAAAATTGCTTTTATTAAGCTGTATTGTACTCTGTTTAATGATTTAGATGTTTCTCCGTGTCCTAAATATCTTGACAGTGGGTTTTTTGAATAAAAGTTCTGGGCCTCCCTTGCTTATGTAAACATAAGCTGCCCAGATGAGGCAAATTGGCTTTGATTCCTTCCCCAAACTTGTGAAAGAAGCACTACAAATACACCGATCTATGGATCTGTAGACACACTGCTCTGAATTTACACATTTAAATCCTTAGAGACCCAAGATCTGTGGATCTAGAGACTCTGTAGGTGTAGTTTGAGGAGTTTGGAATATTCTACATGAAATGACTTCCACACTATTAAGAATCACTCAGAGACTGGCGGCGTGGCATATAAATGGGATCTTGTCATTGCTGTAACTACTTCTGGTATAGGCATATCTTGGAATGATTAGGCAAAATACTGGGCTCCATCCTATAACAGCTACAGTGCTTGTTGAATTGAGCTAGCCGAGGCTGGCATGGATAGATTTCAGTTGCTTCTGGTCAATGACAACTGCAGCATCAGCCTACTTTAGACTGAGGGTATTTAGGGGTCAGAGGTTGCTTTTCTTTTTTCATCTGTGACGCCTAGTCCAGTAAGACCTCAGGGCTACCTTGATGCAAATAAGTGGTGTTGATAGTGAGAGGTTTAGTTTGAGATGACAACCTGTACTATGTGCTAGCAACTCCATCCAATATGGATTTATGGAGTTTTTAACTAGTGGAAGATGATTTGTGTCATAAGACAATTTTGTCTCAAATTATAGAAAAATACCCTGTTTGAAAGATGTTCACACACTCAGATAAACCTTTGGATCGTCTGGGCCTAATTCTGAAGATAAAATAAATTGCAAGAGTAAAACTTTGAAGTGAAGACTTTAAGTGTAGGATTTTCAGAGTTTCTAATAGTTTTCAAGGAATCTTAGTGGAAGCATCACTGGAAACAAAGTTAGTTTGATACTAAGAATCTTCAGCTATTACACTCTTTTCCTGAGAAGGTCCTACAAATGGAAGTACTTTGAAAATGAAAGGGGGGAAGGGGGAACAAACCCAACAAAAAACTCAACACGTTATCCAGACTTTTGATATTTAAAAACCAGATGTAACTCCCTGACTTAATTTCTAGTCCCAGACCCCTATTAATTTAAGAAGTGAATGTGACTCAGTATAGTGAAGGGCTTCAAGTATGACAGTTCAGGACAGCTCAGGATGTGCCAAAAACTGATGCACAGCAAGAAATGTTTCTGTCTATTTCATTTTAGGAACTGACATCTCCTCGCCTTATAAAAAGCCACCTACCGTATCGGTTTTTGCCTTCGGACCTCCACAATGGCAATTCAAAGGTAAAAAGGAAATGAAATCATGTTTGGGGTGGGGAAAATGCTTTCAATAAGATAATTTTTTTTTCTCCCCCCCCCCCCCCCATCATAGGTAATATACATGGCTCGCAACCCAAAAGACCTGGTGGTGTCTTATTACCAGTTTCACCGCTCCCTAAGGACCATGAGCTACAGAGGAACGTTTCAGGAGTTCTGCAGAAGGTTTATGAATGACAAGTGTAAGGAGCTGTTCTCTCTGCACATGCTGTTACACATTTATTTTCATCTCTGCATTTCTTCTGCAAGTACAGAAATGAACTGGATAAAGGTGCATTTGTTTTATGTGTACAGCAAGGAGGTTGCTACAGATAGTGCTGTGTGGACTTAGATTTGTCCATGCAAACTATGGCCATGCCTTGTAAATAATTGCCTTACAGTATTTCACTCCATGGGCTCAGCAGTGTTCCACTTAGGTAAAACTCTGATCTACTTTTCTAAAATGCAGTTTGCTGGGTACCTTGCAAAAAGGGGTGGATGCTCCCAGCATCACTTGATTTCAGTTGTACCTCACTGTTAGCTACTTCCAGGAGTCTTTCTGTCCTCAAAGTTATTTTTTCCTCGCAATTCCTTTAATATTTTTATTTCATCCAAAACCTCAAGGTTTATCCCTTGCAAGATACCAGTTAACACAAAAATCTCTAGTTTGCATGAGATTGATCTGGAGTACGTCTCTAAGTTGAAGTGAGCCCCTGTAAGAAGGCAGTTGCAAGCTGAAACTTTTCGGAAAAGTACACCTCTAAAAGAGAATACCATAACCTGCTCTACAACAACTCATCAGCTGCTCACCCAGTAACTCCTTCGAGCAAGGGCTGTTTCATGACACGCTCAGCCACTGTGTTCCCCCTCAGGCTGCATGGCCTTAAGTACTGCCTTCTATTTCTCTAAAAAAAAAAATCTTCTCTATGATACCTTAATATGACACTAAGAATTCACCTTGTGCTCTGAGAGCAGGATCTCCTCTAGATCCAGTGCAGCAAACCTTACATCAACTTGGAGGAGTTGATGCTAAAGGATATATATAATGTGTAATATTAAAGAGAAGAAAAAAGTGAAAGCCTGCCAGTGGAGGTTATTTAACAGGCCTTAAAAACCTTTGCTACTTTCTCCTGCGAGTTTGTGCAGGGAGGGTAAATGCTCTCCTTCCATTCCAACCCACCTTCAGCTCTTTCTTTTGCATTACCTGAGAATGGAATATTTGTCTGCAGCCCATGATCAGGAACTTCTAGACTGGAGACATACAAAAGACACATTAGAAGGTCTTCTAAGATAGGGGAAGGATTCTGTACTCTTTTTTCATATAAGTATCCCAATTTTTTATATCTTCATCTTCTAGCAGCTAGCTGATTTATCGCAATCTCCCAGAGTCAATAAAACATCACAGCATGTTCTGTGTGCATAATTGTGCAAATGGGGTGTTTCGTAATACGGTACATTTACCATTTAGATAAACATTTGCATCTCATGGAAGCAATGCAGCAGCAAAAAAAACTTCATAAGAAGGCAGAGTATTGCTAGAGGGAGAAGTACTGAGCCCAAGTGACACAATCCCACTTTTTTTTTTTCTCCTTATACCTGACCATCTTGAAACAAATTCAGTGCATGTTAACTGTATTGTTTGAAAGCATACAGTTGTATAGGGAGTAGACTTGAATGTGCTAATTCTTTGGCACTACCCTCGAAAACTTAAGGGTATTTCTTACATAAAGCATAGGTAAATTCTGCTAACATAATCTTAATGGATTCTTGCCCTGTACCATTAAGAGCAGCTGGGAACACTTTTTGCTTGACTGATGTGTTAGCTTCATGTGTGAATTTCTTTAGGGGTGTATGGAATGGGAATAACAAAAATGGAATTTTTCCAACACGTTTATAAAAATTGAAAATGATTCAGCTAATTAAATTAATTTTCCTATGATACTGACCTCTTTGTCCATTGAAAATGTTCCAGTTACCAAAATTAAACAATTCTTTTTCAAAGGGAAAAGGTGGCTTCAAAATACAAAACTAAAAAGTTTAACATTCTTCCATAGCTGCTTTGCTGAAAAGATAAAATTGACCAAAAAAATACTGGGAAAGAATGTGAAAAACTGCTCACCATATTTGCTTAAGTCCTGCTTTGATTATCTGAAGTACTTTGGGGGAATTTATCACTGGTAACAAGGAATTATGCAGAATGCATTTCTCTTTGGGTTGTCTTTCTGGTAATTCTCTAGATAATAAATACCAGTGTGTGAACCTCTGCTAGACACACATAAATTGACTGAAATCAGTGCAAATGCGGACTTTATGAGAGAAGTGAAAAACAAAGGAGAAAAGTTTTGGGGTGAGGGTTAAAGCTTCCAGTAACCACTGGCTCAGCAGTGCTGGGAGCACAAGCCCTCCCAGCTTCTCTTCAAGTTCTGAACCACACACAGCAGATGTGGGGAACTGAAGACAAGCTGCTGGTGGCATGCAGGAGGTAGGAGGCATAAGCTTTTCATCATTAGTAACCCTGCACGCTGGGCCTGACCCCAACTTGTGATATGTGAGAAATACCCCATCACAACATCACTCTAAGCTTTTAGGAGCGCTCACCACGTCATGGGCACCTGGTCGTAGTCTGGATTTATTGTGTAGTTGGGATGACTGATACAGTATAACTGAAACTGTGTTCTGACATATCTGCGGGAGTTGTGTGGAAGTGTTCAGAAAATAACAATAGAAAATAATAGGTCTTAGATTTTTTTGGGGGGGGGAGGGGGAGCAAAAGATGTAATGGTAAATAGAATATTCTGTCCCTACATTCTACGTTTTTGGGAATGACCGTGAAGCATTTTTATAGGTCTGTTTCCTCAATATGTCTTTAATTAAGACAGGACAATGGTTGTTAGCAGTTCTTTGTCTGCAATAGAGGATGCTCTATGGAACTTTCCACACATGCTGTATCTAGCTTCTAAGTGACAGAAGCTGCAGTATATGTTAATTGCAGGAATTCGCACAGGCTGGAGCCACTGGAAATTTGCCTTCTGCAAAGCTATATGTGTAATTTTTATTTTGGTTCAATTTCTGTTCAATAGTCAGGTGTTACTAATACTGAGCTCCAGGAGGTCTATCATGAAATATGGTGGCATTTTCAGTTGAACATTTTGTCTTTATGGTAAGTTAGTTCTTTTCAATATTACAAACTGATAGAAAACCACTTTTTTAATCAAGTTTCTTGCTGTGCATGGCAAGGGGTCAAAACCAGACACTGTTCTCCTGGGGCCATGAACCACTCTGGTTAATTTATTTTTCTCCTTTTTTTGAAAAGGACTTTAATAACAAAAAAAACCCAAAACAAAACAAAGCAAAAGTGTTCATTTTCCTCATGCCAATCATAATGTCTTTGTAGTAGGATATGGTTCGTGGTTTGAACATGTGCAAGAGTTTTGGGAACATCACATGGATGCCAATGTACTTTTTCTCAAGTATGAAGATATGCATAAGGTAGGTTAGATGTAGCAAAAACGTCTTTTAATTACATTTAGCATTGTAGTGTTTAAAATAAATAAAGTACAAAATTTGCTTCTTCTGTCCATATTTGGGCTCCCTAATGTCTGATACCATTTTTAAAGCACTGGCATTCAATGGCTTCTGTGGACTTTCAGCATTTTCATAGACCTGGTAATTTACTCAGGAAACTGCCTGCATCCACAGGCACTAAATGTCTTGCAGGAGATGTGTAACTGTTCAGTTCTTTCTACACTAAGCCCTGGACATTAATTTAAAAGACCTGCCTTGCTGTGTGTGTTCTATCAATGAGGAAGAAAAAGTATATCATCAGTATTTTGTCCCATATATTTGGCATTTATTCTGATTATTTGGTTGTTCTTACTGTCTTCTGTGAAGCAGTATTGAAAACAATTAGGGATGATGGTGTAGCATAAGGTGAACATAATTATTGGGTTCTTACAGTATGCTGGCCAATAAATCCACTCTATCTTTAATCAGAAATTTAGTGGAAATACTACATAGAACATTGGTTTCCGTTTCCTAATGCATTAACATATTTTTGAGAACTAATGAAAATACTTCAAAATGTTGATTTGACTGGAAAATTAATGCAAACACAGGAAAACCCCAGCTCCTATCTCTAAACCTACAAAAAGGCAAAATCAGGGGAGAACTCAATGAAGCTGTAAATTAGAATTTCAGCTTTACTGAGCCTTCTGATGGAGCAGGATGCTAAAAGATATCATACAATCAGAATATTTAAAAAAGTTTGGTAGAAATTATTTTAAACCCATGGTTTTGAATAATGATGTATTCCTAGCTGTGCTCACTGATGGATGCTGCCGAAAGCTGGTGGTGTCACAGTATCTTTCTGCTTCCTGATAAGCATTGCTGGTTTGTCCTTGCAACTCCAGAAGTCTTAGTCATAATGAGGAACCCTGGAGTTCTGGATATATAAATCAATGACTGTTTATTCTCAGAGGCCACCTCACTAGATGCTTTCCATCTACACGAATGCAGTCCCAGAAGCTAACAGTGACGGGAAGGCTGTTCTAACATTTGTAGTCATTTATTTTACCAAGATCAAAATCAAAGTAACTGTTAATTTCTCCAAATACACTGGCATTCCAAAGCAATCAATTAAGGGTGTGATGTTGTCTGAAGTGGGGAGCATCACAACTACTGTGGAGTTCCCTGTTAATCTGAAGAGGAGAGCTTACATGACCGTTCTCTGCCAACCCGTCTTGCCCTGATTACTTGGAGTGTGTTTATTTTCAGCAAACTGGAAGGTCACAAAATTTTAAGACGGTAGTGTTTCCACAACTTCTGCATTTGTATTTTTCACACTCGTCAGGATATGACTTATTTTGAAATATTTAAAATAATTTAAAAAGGAAATTTAAAATATTGTAAAATAAACTTTTTTTTTTAAATACTCTCTTACAGGACCTAGCAACAATGGTTGAGCAACTGGTGAGGTTCTTAGGAGTTTCTTATGACAAAGCACAGTTGGAATCCATGGTGGAACACTGCCATCAACTCATTGATCAGTGCTGTAATGCAGAAGCACTTCCCGTTGGCAGGGGTATGTTTAAAACCCACAGTAAAACTCTTATTGTGTAAGTTGCAAGAAGCAACTGACAACATAGTAACCTCCAGGATGTGTTAAGATGTTGGCAAAATATCGCTGTGTAAATGATGGGAGGTAACTGACTGCTGGTGCAATTTGGGGGTTGGTTTGTTTTGAAATAATATTACGTAGATGTGACTAAAAAGGATGGAAACATCCAAGATTAGCAGCGTATGTTCATCACCATGCAAACCACTCTGTTCGAGAGTCTTTGGCTTACTTCAATGGGTTGAGCTATTCATGCTGAGAAGACTGCACCGCTCCTTTTGACCCTTGGCGTGTCAAAACCCACACAATTTCATATGGTTTATGCTGGCCTAAGTATATCAGATTTTCTAGAAGAGCAGATAATTCTAATTTGAAGGCATCAGATGACAAGGAGCTGTAGTTTCTTACGAGCTTTTTCTTTTCATTGTCTACCTCAGCTGTCTAAAATGTGTTTAGTTTCTAGATGTTTATTCTGGTGAGGTCTTTCTCTAGGAACTTGAAGTGCCATTTGATCTGTTGATACATCTGTGCTTTAATAACGTCAAGAAATCTTCTCAGTTGTCTTTCTGATAAGAATAAAAGAATGAACTCGGTAAATCTCCCTCCAATTATTTTCTGTAGGCTGCTTTACAGCACTTAATGGCTCTTCTTAAAAATGAAGGGATAAGATCAAGATGGACAATTCCTACGTCAGCCTCACAAATATCTTATCCACTAATTTAATCCAATTTTAATTGGAATTTTCCCTCTCCCTCTCCCTTGTTTGTCCGTCTATAGCCACATTAGCACTTTTTGATACAGCATCTCACATGAAGCATGTGTTTATCATGATCACTAAGTGTTTTCAGAGGAATTATTTATACATTATTGTCCCTTACTCAGGGATCATGACCTGAATACTTTGTTCCTAGGTTTCTGTGTAGGAGCCCTTTCCATACTACCTCTCTCAGCCAACCTTCCCATAATCTGCAAATTGTATCAGCTTTAATTTTTATAATTATTTTCAAGTCTCTGATAAAAATATCAAATATCATCAGTCCTCCTTGACTACTAACTCTGAGTCAGCCAGTTGTTTGCTCATTTATCATGCATTTTGTTGACATTATATAGTTCTATTAAAAACTCACTAAAATCACATGGCCTACAAGAGTCTATTGTATCTTTGCATTCACCTTTAATCAGCCAAACTCTAATCTTACCAACACTCAGTCAGGTTTGTTTGAGAGCAAGTTACCTTTCCCATGAAAGCAGGTTCACTGGTATTCTATACTACCTTTGTGTCTTTCTTGGCAGAGCCTTATGCCAGTTTTCCATTACTCCGCTCAGACTATCATCAGAGTAACTGACCCAGGATAATGTGTCCTGTTTGTAAGTTGGCACAAACATTTCAGAATGTCTTACTTGGAGAACAGCTATTGCTCGCACTTCCTTGCTTTTATCTGTGACTTTGCACACATGGTATAGAAGAGCTCTTAGTACATTCTGTAGGGGCTATACAGTTACCACAGCAGGATCTGAAAACCAGATTCCAATGGACAGTTCTCTGTTGTGATTGTGATATGGCACCTCTTTTTGCCCCAGTTTGCTTATGTTAGGGTAATGATGAGTTCTTGAAATAAATATCTCAAGTTTGCTGGCTTGAGGTGCAATTCCAGTAAAGACAAAGGAGCTTGTAGTTTCACTGAAAGACCTAGTTTCTGGTAGAGTCTCCACTGAATGGTGTGTTTGCCTGTTCTTGGTTATCTTGCTTTTAACTCCCATCCTACCCTCCCCTTGCTACTTCAAACTGAAAATTCACCATGTAAGACAACTTGTTTCTTGTGTGAAAACAACAAACCATCTCATTTGCAGTAGGATTTTACAGCACGTTGCCTAACTGATTACCAACCCACTTCTCTGCTCTGAAGAGAAGATCACAAAGTGATGAGTCTGGTAAGACATCCTGAGGGCCTTGGAGAAAGTGTTCTGTGTCAGTGCAAGATTTTACAAACGACAGCGCCACGTTCTCCTCTGTTGACCTGCGTGTAATGCAAAAAACTGGGTTTGTTCTTAACCTCCATGATCTGGAGATCTGTGGAGCAGCAGCACTGCTACATGCTATGCACAGCCCAGATCCTCCCTTCTTGTCCAGGGAAAGCCAGAAAGGCAGTTGTGAAAGAAAGGTGAGGTTGAGATACAAGAGAAAAGAGAACAGAGCTGCTGGTGAGACCTTCCACAGTCAACAACTGGCTCTGCTGGCCAGGTCATCTCCATCCAGATAAACAGGTTGATGCCCACTTTTGCTGCATGCACCGTTCTGTACATAGTGTTACTGTTCATTGTTCGCTACTGGAGCCTGCAAACCCCCAGTCAAGGGCAGAGCCTCTTATTTATACTGTCTACCAATCTTTCAAAAAGAAGCCTCCATTTTGTAATAGAGAAGGAAGGGAGCTACAGCAGTTAATGTAATATTTTGTCATTTGTTCTCTGTGTGCTTTTTATTAAAAATATCCTTATTTTGAATTTCTTTTGTTCGCTGTCTCTGGCTTTTACAATATTTTGTTACTTCAGAATGCAGCTTCATTAACAGTGCTTTGTTCCTTCTCTGTTCGTTTCTGTGACAATGAATGGTGGCAGTAACATGACAGCTTATTGTAATTTGTTTCAAATATTTTTAATTTGTCATTAGTTACATTTACTTTATTATTTTGCTTTATTTTAGTTCTTCATTTTTTTTCTTTTAGCACATTGATCTTTACTCTGAAGATAACCCTGAGCTGCTGTGAAAGCAGAACAATGATTAGATATGTTACTTATATTTGACTCTTATCACATCATAATTTACACAGTTGCATGATTCAAATCATAAACCAGGTGGGTGACTTTTTGACAAGCTATCAATTCATATGGTAAAAAAAAAGATGTTAAAAATAATCCACTGTGTGTGTCCTTTATAAAACTTGTCATTTGTCCATACGTGTTGTTAGGTATATTCAGAAATAAAAGGCTTATCTTTCCCAAGCAGAGGAAGGAAGTGTTTTATTATCATTCTTGAAAGAGAAATACAGGTTTTTCTGTTTCATGCTGTACTTTATGCAATTATAGTTACCAGAGCAAAGTTGAAATCAGTATCAGATGTTTATGATAGCAAGCATTTTCTTAATTTTTTTTTTTTTAATATAGGAGAAATTTGGTGAAAACAGTAAATGATGCATTTTCAGTCAGTTTCAGGTTCTTTTGATCTTTGGATCCCGAAAACAAACCAGAACACTATCATACCTTTGGGAGTTATAGGAAAATCCTGATTTCGTGAAACAGCCCTTGCCACACATATTAATATGTAAATATGTAGATGTTTCAGACAGTTTTGTCTTCGGACTCAGTTATAGAGTTGCTGCATAACAGCAATGGTAATTAAATTAAATGGGTATTTTTCTTATGCATCAAATGCATAATTAACCTCCCTGCATGCAGTTTTGTTCTTGCTGTTATGATTAAACTGTCTGGTAGCACTGTCTCGATTCTCCTTTCATTTATTCCAGTTGAACAAGCCTGGATTTTTGTCTTTATTTATATCCAACATAAAGGAGAAGAAAATTTGGCCTCTCAGTCTGGTTACTCCATGGGGCTTATTCACCAACAAGTAACCCTGGCTGACTTTGAGTTAAATAAATTTTGGATGCAGTGAAACAGTGGTTAAGGGGGTCACAGCCTTTGACTGGTGGGTTCTGCAGTGTCATCAGGTTATATTATTAGTCGGGTTCAGTAGAGTAGAAGAATACTCCACGCGAGGAAAAAGTGTTCAATGTCCATATTGCATCCACCAAAAGCTTCCTATTCCTTGTGTACAAAACTAAAATTTAAATGGCACAAACTGGGTGCATGGCACTTGCTCTCTTCTATAGATATATTCTAGGCACTCATATTTAACAAATAATTCTCTCCATATTAAGAAACATTAATTCATCTGTTGAACTTGTCTTTAAACATAAAGTAATAGAAATTAGTAATGATAATATTAGATCTCAACAATCAGAATTCAATAATCAGTCTAATGCTCCTCATTCCATGTACCTTTTGGGTAGTTCTCTAATCAGTGTATGCTGCAGGCACAGTAATTTTGAAATGTATTATTGTTATCTGTTGGAATTATTAAACAGCCATAGTTTGCACAGAAAACAGAAATCTACTTTTAAATGAATACCCAACGCAAAATCTGTATTCATTTCTGATTAAGGCTACAGCAGAATCTCACAAAAATCTGAATTCTTCCTGTGCAATACTTGACTGCTGCGGTTGACAAGGTGTATGGGACTCATTTTAAGGCTTTGCAAGGGTTGTAGCAGGGGAATTGGGTAAGACAGTGACCAGCCTTAGGTCTCATTGAGCTTTCAGTGAAAGCTAAGGCTGATTAGCATCTCACGGATGATACTTGGTGTCCTGCACAATTAGACTGTAGGTATGTGGTGTCCTGTTAATGTTTGCTCTCTGACTTGTGTTCCTTCTCTGTGTTTCAGGACGAGTTGGGCTATGGAAAGACATCTTCACTGTTTCAATGAATGAGAAATTTGATTTAGTTTACAAACAGAAGATGGGAAAATGTGACCTCACTTTTGATTTTTATTTATAAAAAATGCATGCATATGATATCCAAATATAGCTAGAAGTGCTTTATGCATTCATTTATTACCTGCTGGACAAACTACTGTAGCTATTATGTGTAACAAGATTTAAAGGAAGAAAAACAATCTAAGTAAACCATATCAGATACAATTATCTTTGATCCTAAACAGCTGTTTATCTTCTAGTATTTTAATCCTTGTCCACACGCAAGAACTTCCTAGACGATACTAGAATATTCAGCTGTTATGGAATGTATTATATACGTATAAGGTATGTATCATATATGCAACTAGAATGTACACCTTTTCAGCCCCACATTGATTATTTAATGTGTTTTATAAAAGCTTTTCACTAGAACCTAAATAAACATCCATAAACCAAATAAAAAATTATTTCAGAGGGAAACAAGTAGCAGGCCAAAACTGTATGCTAGAATGATCTCAGGGGTTAATCGTCACATTTATTTTTATAGCAGGTGTATCAAGTATAAATAAATCCCATTCCAAAATACTAACTGATCAAAGTGGGGTTCACATTAGGTCCTGCACACCCTTATCTGTATAATTTGAGTAGGTTCTGTGCACTTGCATACTCTGCAAGTCAGGCCTTGTTATGAAATGTAGCTGTGATTGTCACTCTAATCCCAAAACCCACCCATGCTTTCATGGATGACAGCACACATCTGTCTTCCTGCCGGATGAAGTTCAGCCCCATGCCGAAGGTCAGCAAACAGAAGCTTCTTAAGCTCCCAACTCTGCTTCAGTCCCTCAAGACAGGGCTTAAAAGCAAGGCATCTGGTGCAGGGTCTTTCTTGAGGAATTGTCTCTGACCCGTATCGCTTTCCTGTGTAGGTGTGATTTTTCACCCATTAGATACAGTAAGAGAAGACAAGGTCCTGGATAGCCTCTAGTTTTCCTAAACGTCAAGGGCACTTAGCACTGTTTACAGTTTGTGCTACTGGTCTCCGCCAGACCTAAGTGGAAGATGAATATACATGCCAGTGTAAGCAGGCAGACGGCAGCACTGAAGGAAGAGTTTAAAAATATGCCACCAGGTGGGAGTATTGCACAAATATTCATGCAGAATACAGTTTCAGTAATTGTTAGCCATGACTGGTCTGAATTATAATCAGGATTCAAGTTTATTTCTGTATCTTTTTTTATTCTCTATAACAGGTACGCAGCCTGAAGCAGGCTATGTCACTATAAAACTCTCCAGAATTATTTTATTGTTCCGTTAGGTAATGGCATTTATGCTTTATAGCTCTATCTCAGCTGCAGGAGGCCCATTTTTGCTAGTCAGATATTCAGGCTCACCAAAAGCCATGAGGAAGGACTAGCAGATTTTCAGTGTTTCAGTTCTGTTGGAAAACTGTCAGTTCAGCAACTGGCAAGTGGTGTAGCATGATGTGGCTTGACAGCACTTTTCCTTGTATATTTGTGAGTGATAATGCTTTCAGTGAAATTTTATTTCTATTTTTATATTTTTAGTACTGTATGAATATTAAGCACTACACATTATACTTCTGTGCTTGCTTGCTTATTGAATAAAAGATTGTGTTCCATGCATTGTGGTTTGCTCATTTTCCACCTCCTACTCAAGCCAAGTAGTCTTTGTAAAGCCACAGATCTCCCCTACCCACACCTCCTAACTTAAGGCAGAAGAACTACAGAAGGATGCCATCAGCTCAGATGATTGTCTGGCCCAATGAGCTGTCTCTGACAGCAGCCCATAACGAATGCCTGTGCGAGACTACAATAGACTCCATGAGCATCTTTGTGTTTAATAGCCCTCTGCAGGGTTTTCTTCCCCTCATGCTGGTATTGACAGCATCCCGTGGCATTGAGTACTTCATCTGAATACACACGGTATGAAAAAAGGACTCACTTGCTTAGAGACTGCCACCAGATAGTGTAATTTGGTATTCCTTTGTTCTTGCATTATGACAGATGATACACCGTCACTGTTCACACAAGGTTTTACATACTTTTATCTTACACCTCTCAGGCAACTCCATGCTGAGGAGTCCTACTAGTCTCTGTCATACAGGAGACCAAAACCCACAAACTACAACGAGCTGCAAGAAGGCAGGAGTAGGAGAATTGCTTCTTGCTACAGGGGAAGACTAAATCTCCCCACAGTTCTTGCAGATTAGAGTCAGAAGAAAATTTCATTAGCACCAAAAATCTACTTAAATCACTTAGTCCCAAGGATGTATGAGCAATACATCCTTACTGGCTGCCTAAAAGGCTTCTTGTATTTCTGAAGACACCACACTATCCTACTCCTGTTCCCAGGCACAGCCTGTCTCCTTTGGTACAGCAGTTGACCACCCCCCCAGCCCTCAAAGCCACATTTTTAACAGCCAGGTGTATACCTGTGCCATTGCCAAACAGCCTGTGCAGAGGACCACCAGCTGCCGGGCTGGAGGGGGAATGGCTAGTTTACCTAAAAACCCATTTCCTTATTGTAGCAAGTACTAGCCTCTGTGACAATCTATTGTGCACATCCTGCTATGCTGCTGCTCCTTGTTTTAGACAACAAAGTTTCTCTGTGCTAGGAGTCTGCTTTCTAGGACCAGAAAGGCTGTCCTCAGCCGGAGCTACTCTTTCCTACCCCTTGACTCTGTTGCCCTCTGTGCTATCAGGTGAAATTCATCCAAGAGTCAAAAGTCTGGTCAAAGCCCATTCCCACATAAGCCATGCTGAAATTCTGCCTTTGGATCTCTGGTCCTTGAAAGCATTTCAGCCTTTCTATTAAGGTCCGTAGGTAGTAAGCTCCTTCCTCTCTTGACAACTTCAACTTTCAGGACTTGGCCAAGTGTCACCGTTACTCTCTCTATAAACACAGACACCCCTTGGCCAAGTGCCCCAAATTGTCTCTGGAGAGAATGCCTCATTGATACAAATGCACTGCAAAAGAAGAACAAAAATACCAGAAAACTCAGAGAATTATTTTTTTTCTCCCCTTAGCATTCACATTTGGTAAGTTTCTTCTGCTGAGGTAAGTGCCGCAAAGTTAGTGCCCTAGTGACATTTATAGTTTGACAGCTGGTAGCCCATTTAGTGATACAAACCTGCACAACGTGGGGAGGATTTGGATGGCTTAATTGCAGTGGCATTTCAGATCACCAACAGGCAGCCCCCCTTTCCTGTAAAGCACCAAGTACCCTCAGCGTTCAAAGCAGCCATCCCTGGCCGTATACCTTCACGGAAATACCAAGCATATCACTTCGCTGGTCCAATCCATCACTAAGCAGGTGCACGTCCAGCAGTACTCAAACGGCCTTGGCTGTAAGGTCCCCAGAAAGCCCCTGGGCTCCGCTGAGCACCTCCCATGGCTCCTGGCTCTCCACCGCTGCCACTGCATTCGATGGGGCGCCTCAAATGCCAGCAGCATTAAGTGGCTTGCCTCAGTCGGAGCCCTCCAAAGCGTTAACATGAAGGAACTGAGGGGAAACTAATCTAGATAAGAAATTTTTGCACAGTTTTGTAGACAAAAGGTTTAAGTATTCATTGCAGTGAAGTTGGGCAGTAGAGGAAAGACAAGAAAGCTAATGAATAACCATTAAAGATTCTCAGCACTTTTTTATAAGCATCACAACACAACATAGCAGCGATAGTTCTGGCAATAATTATAAAGATTTATACGCTTGAGTCACCATTATTATAAGCCATTCAGTCTTGTCTGGGCTATAAATAACCCCACTTAGTAGCTACCAGCAAAGGTTTAGAGGAAGGATTAAGGAACAGCATTTGTCTTCTCAGTCAAAAGAAAAAGGCTAAACAGAGATGCAGCTGGATCAAATAACAGTAACAAAAAATCCCAAATCCAGTGACCACACCCATGGGAAGAACACGGTACAGAAATGATACCTGATCTCAATTCACAAGCCATTTGATTTCTTTACTGCAGGATCTGCAGACTGGTGTCCTCTAGTGTTTGAATCATAAAACATATGCAGATGAGTATTTTCTGCTACCTGTCATGGTGTATATCACACATGTGGAACAGAAATAATTGCAACCAATAATCAGCTTCATTCTGGCCATGGAAAGAGAGTCTGCAAAAATGAGCACCTTCATTTAAAAATAGAATTTACCCATATTTTGGCACCATCAGGTTTAGACCTCAACTGCTGAGTCATACTCCAGTAACAACTGTTGTATTTTCAGGGAGTGGCAAGGAAGTCAACAATACTGGTGCTACTCTGCCCTGGTCTACCTGCATATAAATCACCCCTTTAAAAGATGAGAGAGCAATGGCAAATTCTGCTGGCAGACTAGAGCAATGCCTCTCTTCAGCTCTCAGGCTGGAATCATACGTAGGTGCACGTAACATCCGGTGACCTTCTGAAAGCGTCTGAGCTGCGTGGTCTTTAAAAACAAATGCGAGAAAAGTTTACAAAAATGCAGGGCAATTTTCTGTGCTTCAGGACCCCAATATGTGGGAATTACTACGGGCAGCATAGGACTCCTTACCATAAATTGGTTTTAGAAACAGTGAAGCTGTTTACACCAATCAAATAGAGAAAAGAAAGGAGAAGCCTTTGTATGCCCTGTGGATGTGGGAACCTACATGAGGTTCTTTTGGTAAGCTGTGCCGTGCCAGTATAATTTTTCTGGCTTTTGCCGCTTCATCAGTGGGTGAAACTGGAAAGCCAAGCAACAACTTTTGCTGGGGTTCTCACTGTGCACAGATGACAAGCCCTGGCAATGCACACTACAGTAGTTTTAGAAGCTACCACCTCCAGCTGTCCACTCTGCCTTTCTGCCAGAAATGGCCACCATGGAGGAGAGACAGCAGAAGCAAATGCGTGCTGGCTCCTCAGCTGCTGTAATTTACAGGCTGACATATTGGCTTAAACTGATATGGATGGCGGTTTCAGATAATAGGCTGATTTGTAATCACAGCTGCAAGGAGCCAAAGCATGTCCTCAGGTGCTGCCCTGGCTTGGAGGTGAAGTCCCAAGTCCATGTCAGAGCTCTTCTGAAAGAGCTCTGCAATTGTCTCTACTTGGGAACAGTCCGTTTCACATATGGACCGAGTTTCACCTGTGAAAGACGGTCTATAAAGGTGAAATTGTGTCCTGCAGCAAGAAGGGGAGACAGATCCACACTGCCACATGGACTGAACTAACTAAAATCTGTTTTTGGAAGGAATATTGTTTTGTAGGAGGGAGTGCTGCAGCAAGACACGCTGTGTGACAGCATGCAAGATGCGGAAAGAACAGTAACGTAACGGCAGCTGACTGCTCAGACTGATTCCAATCGCAATCACTAATATGCCGACTTGCTTGATATGTGTGGTACGAGTGATATTCAAAGTAACTGCCACCTAGACGTTAAATCCACTGTCACCATCTCTGTCACATACTCAGCT